AGAGCTTGACCAGAAGTTGGAAAGACATTCCTGTAAGTTCGTGGGAGTCGGCAAAGGAAGAAAAAAAGCTAACATTAAACATACTCCTCCACACAGCAGGAAAGGGGTGTTGTTCGTGTATGACCGACACATTGTTGCAAAAATGATTCTTTATAGACTTTGAAGGAAATCATTTGATCATGGTATCTGATGGTGTTTAAGTGTCAAGAGACATAAGTTAGATTTATTCTCCTTTTGTTGAGCTGCTGCTGCTGCTGGTGGTCTTGCTAGTGATCGCACGAGAGCTGAATTACTGTACGGTTCAGCGTAGGATTTTCACCAGACGGTAGCAACATGAGTGTAGGGAAACTTAACCGATGAGAAATGGACAGTAAATTGACAAAAATGTCCTTTTCTAAGCGTGTTTTTCTATATTTATCACACAGAAATGCTCAAGGATTCTCTGATAATGCTTCAGCTGTTTTCCTGTGTTGGATGGAAACCCCAGGTCTCTGTGGTGGGATGTAATCCTGAAACACCCATGAACCCCTGGAGAGTTCTAACTTCTGCCTCTGACATCTGAGCACGACAAAAACAAACAGCTAACGAAAGAAAGTCTCAATGGGAAATGTACAATGTATGACTTTTGGCTTTCTAGTTTAACCATCTTTAACATGATTATACACTCCCATACTAAACCCTGCAGCCCTAAAAGCTTCTTCCAATACTTAAACATGTAATTGGACACTAGAGGTCACTTTTAAGCATATAAGTGTAGCTTCCTGTTTCAGAAAACAGGCCATTATGGGATTGGTGAAATGTAATGCATGCCTTTGATGCAAGATTCACTCCAGGCTAACATCCCTGTCACTCGGGGAATGAGGTCGCCTTTAAAGGATTTGACGTCTTTTGATCATGGGGTAATTAAGTGAAATACAAAGAACCGCGAGAAGCCGTAGAGGAGTTTTTTCTAAACGCAATCCAGGGGAAACATGTCAAAGCAAAGCAAAACAAGTCGGAGTAAAAAGTTGTGAACGTGAAGAATTAAAACACAGAAACAAGCCTTTAAACATCGAAATATGTCAAATAATGTCTTGAAATGCTTCAACTAAAACTAAATAAAACGATGTACACACTCTACTTTTAAGTATTAGCATGGGGAGTTGGGACACACTTAAACTAAGGAGAGAAAAAGGAAATGCTGTCACGGGTTGGACGTCTGCCAGATTCAGGGAGAGAGTATAAAGCATGCCAGCAATGCATAGGGGAATATTATCTTGATTTGAAAACATTTAGTTCCAGTAGATCCTGTACAGAGATCTGTGTTCTCACGCAGATGTGCAGGAAAGGGCCGTGCAACAACTAACAGCCAATGAGCGGGGTCACTCAGTCCACAGGTTCAACCTCCCATTAGTCTTTTGATTAATGTCCCTGTGTACTTCCATGACTTTAGGGGAAGGAAACAGCCTCCACTTTTTCATGATCTGACAAGAGTGTCATGTAGGCATGTCAAGGAAGAGAGGAAAGAGCAGCTCTGGATGGAAAGCAGAGGCTTGCTCAGGCTTATGGAGGCACTATTGAGCCATTTTTAAAATAATGGGGACTTACTTTGGAAAGTGTTGGATTTTAAAGAGCTAATGCGTAACGATGGGGTGTATGAACCATGGGGTTGTTTAGGGACAGCGAGAAGGTTTGGAAAAGGTTTGTTTGCTGCAGCGCGGGAACCCACAAGCGGACCTTGATGATCAAAATAAACACTGATTATATAGTATTCATGGCACAATGTCTGTTTTGGTGGTGGTGGTGGTGGTGGTGGTGGAGTCTGGGGGCATCTGTTTTTTTAATCAACACTGAGCTATTTTTGGCTCCTTTTATGTGCTTTGGGAGTAATTTCATTGGTTTGGGATTTGGCAAACAAAGCATTGCAATTGCTGTGTTGGGCGTGTCTCGCATTTCATATCACTAAAATGATTCTTATCAGTCTCTCTGCGAAAGTCAAAGCTCTGAGAGGGAAAGATCGTGTGCACAGTGGTGTAAAGTAACTAAGTACTTTCACGCGAGTGCTGTACTTAAGTTAATTTTGAGGTACTTATACTTAACTCGACCATTTTATACTATTTTTCTACTTCTACTCCAAAGTAAATATTTAACTTTTTATTCCACATTTATTTGACACTTGCAGTTACTAGCTACTTTTTCTACAATGTATATACCGTAATTTTCGGACTATAAGCCGCGCCTTTTTTCCCCATTTTTCGACGCTGCGGTTTATGTAACGGTGCGGCTAATCTATGGATTTTTACAGCTAACGGCCACCACGGGACCTCCTAAATCTATGGATTTTACAGGTTAAAGTCCACCACCTTTAACTCTATGGGCTCTATGGCCGGTCCGCGGACCCCCAACTTTAAGCGGCGGGTTCCAGCAGGAAAAGCTGGAGGCCGGAAAAGAGTGAGACAGGTAGCGCGCAAAAGTAAAAGTGGAACCGAGAGTGGTACGAGAGACAGAACGAGAGCAAGACAGACAGACATTACGAGAGCGAGACAGTTTGTCCCCGTACCACTGGTTGAAAACCGCTGCTGTAGATCACTGCCGGTACGTGCGCTGGGAGCGCACCGTTTAAGTTTGAAAGTTGAAAAGTTTGTGTGTCTGAAACGCTATGTGATACAGTACAGTTTACACAGCACAGTACATGTTCTGTAGCTACTATTGCACTAAATGGTAACACTTGAATACGTTATGCAAATATGCAACTTGTTTGTTGAAATGTTAATAAATGGGAGCTTCCTCAAACAGCCATCTCTTTCCTGACAATCCCCTCTGTGCACGAACCCTTACATATGGTAATGAAACATTAAAACACCTGCGGCTTATAGTCCAGTGCGGCTTATGTATGTACACATCATTCAATTTAGCTGCTGCGGCTTATATTCAGGTGCGCCTTATAGTCCGAAAATTACGGTAGTGTTTTTACTATCACTCACATATAACAATTCTAATATACATCTTCAGTGTACAACCCAGGAGTCATTGAATGTTTCGGCTTATAACTAAAAAATACTCCCTCCAGGATGGCCCTCGCAAGGTGATCAAATACCAAGCAGTGTGTACTATAGGCGAGGGACGGCCCGTGTGTGTGAGTTTTCAGGCATTCAGGAGGATATTGCAGCTATACGCGGTAGCAAGAGAGATGGCAGATTCGCTGCCGCTGGCATCAGGGACGGAGTGGATGATGGGTGAGTCGCTGAATCATCCGATTGCATGTAACCGGATCCTTAGTAAATGAGCTGGTCGTTGGGCGAGTCTCCCTCTCGGTGGGGGGGAGCCCTTGAGTCCGTTCTTTCCTGGTGGACGTTACGGTGACAAATTAAACCTATAAATTGCGGGTCCTCGCCTACATCTTCCTTATAACATTGTAAAATCACATTACAACGCTACCCCAGTCTATCTGCCTAGCTTTTAGCAAGTAGTAGGATAGCTGGCCAGAAGTTATCGTCTGGGCTCAGGGGTTGGACACGACTCTGTGAAATTCGTGGCAGCTGGTCGCGGACTCAGGAGCCGTAACCGGATAGCAAGGATCCAGAGATCCAGGCGACTCATCAGCACGCGAGGTCAACAGCCAGACTCAGTTCGCAGGAATCGCTGACTCCACTGATATCAAGGGAACTTTTTCACTTTGCCTGCAGACTCGTGTGGAACTTGTATAGCAGATCCAGAGATCAGACTCGTCATGCACGAGCGCATAGCCGCGGGGAACTGGGAAAGTCATTTTATTTACGTCGGGTGCGGACACAAAGTGGTGAGAGATTTCAATGAACAGTTAACCACTGAAGTTTTCAAATGTACCACTATTCGCAGCCCCGCCTCCAGCACCCCTACTTCCGCTGGCCTATTAAGGTCAACATGCACTCAAGAGTTCAGTACATTTACAGGTATTTAGCAGAACGCTGATCACTGTGCAAAAATCATAGCAGCACTCGTGCGGACTCAGAGCTCGGTTAACTCGTACTAGCAGTCAGATCCAGCAGACTTCGTTCGTTCCATGCATGTTCAACAGCAGACTCAGATTCGTTTTGTATATAGTTATATCCTCTGTTTTTATCACTTTAATAGCTAAATATGTCACTGTGTAGCGGAGGTGTTGCAATGTAACGTTTGGTGTTAATAGGCTCTGTGTCGAATGCAACAAACTTTTCGGTTTCACCAGGAAGTTTTGTGGTGTCTTGTTTTATTCATAGACGTGCGTGTGAGTATCCGGATCTCTTCAATGAGGTGCTGGCCCAGAAGACTCAGGTCTGGAAAAGAAGTGCCGGAGTGTGCATCTCTGGATCGATGTAGCTGCATGAATGGGTCCCACTCGCTGTGGATGGAGGACTCGGGGAACCTGGCCAGTAGGTCAC